AGGATAAAGATGAAATATATTTTAAAAAAGCAGGGATTTCTTCTTTTTGGTGTTAACAAATAAAACAAAAAACAAAATAACCAGACACTTTTTCATCATTTGATTTTTGATTGACAATTGAAAACAGAAGGAACGAATGATTCACGGACTTTGGAGTTTAAACAAAAATGTTCATGAACCAGGTTTCAGGGAGAGCAGAGGCAATCCACACAGACTGCAGGCGTCCACTGGAAGGAAACAAACCCACCCCTGTCTCCGCCCACTTTTATGCTTTCATTCTATTGGCAGTAACAGTTGCTAGGAGACAATACTCCCTGATCCGTGAAAGCACAGAAAAACATGAACAAGCAGAAAAGTGAGGTTTATGAGCGCAGTTTGGATTTGTGCGGGGAGAAAGTTTGAGTGTGAGGAGAAATTCTGGGCGAGAAAGGAAAGGTTTGAGAGAGAACAGAGTGTAACATCCAACCACGCAGATATGCGTGGTGACGTATGTAACGTAAGGTAAAAAAATATATGCTGTACGTTCCCGCCCGCAGGCGGCAGAGTTGTGAAAAGAATAAAGAAATGAAAGCACGAGGCAGAATGGCTGAACATCCTTGATCCCTGCAAACCCGAAAACATTAMACAGAGCATATTTAGAAGAGAGCTGAGGTTTCGAGTGCAAGCATTTTAAGTTTTGAGAAAAAAGACAGTTTTGAGGACAAAGACATATTATCCTGTTCTCAAATTGAAAATATATGCTCTTGGATTAAGTCAGAATAATTCTTCCATGTAGGCAGTCTGCTGCAGAGTGGAGTCACTGAGCTTCCAACTTTCTGCAGTTAAAGTGTCTCTAGATTATGTTTTAACACACAACAGTAAAGTTTGCAATAAATGAAATGTCTGCTAAACTGTCCAATGTTCATGGTGTAATGACAGTGTTAGTTTATTCCCACAGTAGGCTTTGATATAAATATAAGGATTCAGGTTTGATTTTTAGGGGCTGCAGTTTCACTGATGCCTTCATTTGATCAATAAAGAGTCACAAACAAACCACATTACATTTGTTTTGTCAGATCAAGGAGGTAAATAAGCTGCTATGATAATATGATAAGCTATGATAATAATGGGCTAATTTTTTTAAAATCTTGATGTTTGCACGTTGCAGACCAAAATTAAAAAGAAATTTAAAAGTAGAAATATTGAGAGTTATTTTTTTGCAAAAAAGCAAGGGATGAGAAGGAAGAAGAGACAGAGTTGAGAAAGGAAGATAGAGGGTCACAGGTAAAGGAGCCCACTGCAAGTGCAACAGGTGAAGAAGATGAGAAAAGTGACATCAGCATAAGTGTTAAAGAAGAGAAGATTTCAGAGTCAGAGAGAGAAAAAGAAGACAGTGCAGAGGAAACTGAAGGAGAGAAGAAAGGCACAGAATCAGAGAATCCCATCAAACCCATCAAATTCATTATTTTGTAAACTGAAAATATTGAAATTCTTTGATTTGGTTGATTATAGCATTCCACTGGTTATGTATAGGGCCCACAGAAACACATTACCTTTAAATATCCAGGTGGATTTTGTTAAGAGAAAAAGTTGTTATAACCTTAAAGGGACAGATATATTTGTAAAACTCAGATTCAGAACTAGTTTGAGGGAACGGTGTACTTTAATACAGGGAATAAGACTGTGGAATGATTTGAAGAGTGATGCTAAAAATGCAGGATCATTGGGCCTCATGCAAGAACATGTTTGTATTCTTCTCCTAAATTTCTCTTACTTTTGTTCGTACAAAGGGTTCGTACGAACATGCTTCGTCAGATTCAACAAACTCTTCTATCTTCAGGAAAAGTGCGTAAATGAGCTGCGTGAATTACACCTGTTCGTATCCAGCTGCTCGTGCACGCAAGAGGAGATTAGCATAATCACCCCAAAAACACCATGTCTGTCAGAGATCCAGACAAGAAAATCTGTCATTTTTAGCAGGTCAGCTGTGGGATAAAAAGAGCTGCTAAAAGTATAAACAACTGTGTTAAATCATTTTCATTTATTCAGAAGACACAGCGCTGCGCACCGTACATCCCCCACCCCCATACATATATCCTGGAATTAGACAGGTATCACAGTCTCTAAATATCCTGGAATTAGACAGGTATCACAGT